GTTACTGCCCTTGACGCTTTTGTTCAAAAAACAAGAAGTAATATTTTACAACCTGATAACCAATACTCCGGAGCAATAGGTACAAATGAAACAAGAAGTAACTTCTCCTTGGTTTACATGGCTATATAAACAGATCTAAGATATTTTTAAGAACGTAATTACAGTTCAATCAATTTGTTTTACTGATATAAGCTCCTCATTAGGCGCAAATGAGCATTTCGCAGCTAGCTGGCGTTCACCGAGGTAAGTTTTGTTATACACACACATATGTATATATCTCTACTAAATCATTGCATGAGAGCAGAAAAAAGATACTAAAAATACAAAATTGCAACAATTGATAAGGAGTCCACTCACGGTATTTTGAGTTATTTTAGCCGCGAACAGAATTATCTTTAACCTGAAGGAAACCTGAAAATAGTAGTTTGCTAAGATAGAAAAACACCAAAGAGATAATAATAAACCGTTAAGGAACACGGATGGTCAAGGATGGAGAAGATTGACACGGATTACAAACGAGAACTTGAAATATTAAGACTATATTTTTCAAGATGCATGCAGCACCTATGCATATTATGCGCAAACCATGACGTAGCTCCTTCAATGCAGTGAGTATTAAAAACAATGTTAATTTCGTTTGGACATCGTCCTCATCACAGTTTTTCTATGCCAGTTTCACTTCATAAACGCAATGTTTCAGGTTTCTTCAGAACAAGAGCATTTTCTTAAATGAGAGCATAAGGTGCAACTAAAAAAATGGCCAGTGTTTCTTTTCCAATAACATCAGGATACATAACTGATAAGAGCTTTTACCTCAGTCAGCTGGTTTATTGTTGCCAATTTTGTTTTTGCTGCAGCCCCGTGGACGCGTGGTGGATTTCTCCTTAACTGCCAAAGATGTCGTTCAAGTTTCCTTTATTACTGATGTTGCTGCTGTGCTTGTGTGTCGTAAATGCTCAGGAAGAGAACTACATTTGTGGCCGTAATGGAGGAATGCCGTGTTGGGGTAGAGACGAACCCGAGCAAAATGAAATCCGTGTCATTGAAGATACTCCGGAAAAATTCATCCATCCGTTTGCGAAGCTGAACAACAAGAGAAGCAAAGGTTTTGCGCAGTTACAACGTATGTTGTACGGAAAAAAAGGACTGAGGAATAAAAAGTGACATTTTCTCTCTGTTGTCCAACCAGAATAACGGACGAGTAAAAAACTTAACGTAACGTTATCCATAAAATGCCTTAATTTAGACTAGTCAACGGATGCAAGCTGTATGACGTTAACAAATTAGGCAATACATCGTATTGAAAAATTTGTGTCTATGGTTTACCTATGTTTGAGGGAATATTCTTTAGCTATTATTTTACGTGAATACCTTATTAAGTGTATCCTTCCATTGAATCTCAGGATCGAGAGTTTAGAAAACAACATTTCTCTTTAACATAGGGCTTTCTCACAGGGACTGGGAACTACCGAATTCACGAATTTGATTGGCTGAAATCGGTATTGAAAGCGGTCTTTTCCCATCTGGACCGGCATCTAGACCGGTAATGGTTTGTGGCGAAAAAGTTGTAAACTAAAATGCAAAAATATTGACTATTTTCTTCTAACAATATTTATTTATCGAAGTGCCAAAAAGCCTGATGAGAAAAAAAGCAACTGAAAGGGTACGAGCAACCTTTGGCAGAATTAAGTTCTAGTTCATCGCTGTTCGCAAGCAAAATGTCAGTTACCTACAGACCAGTTGCATTGAACGAATTAAATTGTTCGTGTTTGCCTTATAATAAACAACTTATTAACCGAGCTTAGTCGGTCTGTATGGGGGAATCTTGACCTCGATCGTGTGTACAGACCTCACTGCATTCTGTCTATTCACGACCTCGGTCAAGATTCTCCCATACAGACCTCCTCCTCGGTTAATAAGAGCTAAATAAAACCTACCTTCCCAGAATGCTTTAAATGCTTTTGGGATATGGCATTTTGCTTTTACCACCCTCACTATCTGTGTTCATGGTCGAGTTTTCCGAGTTCAAGTTGAAAGTGTAAGGGCCTTCTTGCAAAGAAATTAATGTAACCATTCAGCAAAGGCAAACCCAAGTCAATCCTCCGGAGGAAAAATAATGGCAGCTGAACATTTTACCATAATACCGTGCGAGCATGTGCTAACAGAGGCGCTGTGGCTTCATGGTTAATGCACTTGACTATGGATCGCGCGGTCCGGGGACATTGTGCTTACTCTCACGGTGCCTCTCTGCACCCAGGTGTATAAATGAGTAACGGCGAATTTAATGCTGGGGGTAACCCTGCGATGGACTAGCATCCCATCCAGGGGGGAGTAGAAATATTTCTAGTCACTACATGCTACAGAAACCGGGATAAGCTCCGGACTGATGGGTCACGTGGCTCGTATGCACTTAACGACATTGTGTATTCTAAGTTTGATGATTCTGACCGGATAATTCAACAGTAATAGTCAACCAAATAAAGCCATAAAAACATTTACGAAAAACGACTGGAATTATTTAATCCAATTTCATTGTTGATTTATTTATAAACTATAGCATTATGACACTATTCCTCTATCTTTGGCAATGTACTATATACATACATTTAGTCCCAAATAACTATTTCTATTATTTATATATCATTGCTTCACATGAAGCAACAAATTCTTTACTCTGAAATTTTCCTTATGCAATGATGTTAGAATGATATTACAATGGTATTGTCGCTGAATGGTGTGTTTAATATTATTCTATATCAGACCCAAAACGTTAACCTTGATGAAAACTATTACTTTGAGCGCATGTCATCGAGCAGGAACCAAACACGAAGAATTATACATTCGAGACATTTTGTCCACTAAGACAAAANAGTAGAAATATTTCTAGTCACTACATGCTACAGAAACCGGGATAAGCTCCGGACTGATGGGTCACGTGGCTCGTATGCACTTAACGACATTGTGTATTCTAAGTTTGATGATTCTGACCGTATAATTCAACAGTAATAGTCAACCAAATAAAGCCATAAAAACATTTACGAAAAACGACTGGAACTATTTAATCCAATTTCATTGTTGATTTATTTATAAACTATAGCATTATGACACTATTCCTCTATCTTTGGTAATGTACTATATACATACATTTAGTCCCAAATAACTATTTCTTTTATTTATATATCATTGCTTCACATGAGGCAACAAATTCTTTACTCTGAAATTTTCCTTATGCAATGATGTTAGAATGATATTACAATGGTATTGCCGCTGAATGGTGTGTTTAATATTACTCTATATCAGACCCAAAACGTTAACCTTGATGAAAACTATTACTTTGAGCGCATGTCATCGAGCAGGAACCAAACACGAAGAATTATACATTCGAGACATTTTGTCCACTAAGACAAAATAAGGAAGGAAAAGAAAATTGGAACACGAGGAGGAAAGATCGATGGGGGGACACGGAGAGGGACGTAGAGGCGGCAAAAATTAACAGCAGATAATTTTGAGTGTTTTTCTTCATGCGTCCCGCCCCTCGCATCCGTTCCGTCTTTGCACTTTCGGC